CAATAGGTTAAAGAGTAGAGGTCTGTGTAGAGTGGCACGGAAGTGTCTTAGGGTTTTTATTGCTGTGATAAAACACCATGGCCACAAGCAACTTGTGAGGGAAAGTGTTTATTGCGATTACACTTCCACATCACAGTCCATAATCAAAGGAAGTCTGGGCAGGAACTCAAGGCAAAACCTTGGAGACAGGAAGAAACTGAGGCCGAGGAAGAATGCTGGTATGGGCTTGCTCCTTGTGGCTTGTTCAGCCTGCTTTCTTACAGCACCCAGGACCAGCAGAGTAGGCATGGTACCCAATCACAGTGAGCTGGGCCCTCCCACACCAATCATAATCAAGAAAACCCAGGCACCACAGGCTTTCCCAACAGCTAATCTGGCAAGGGCATTTTCTCAAGTAAGGGTCCCTTTTCCCACATGACTCTAACTTGTGTCAAATTGACATAAACCTAAACAGCACAAAAGGTATGGAAGAGAACACCTCAACACTGCCCAGACAGGAATGAAATGCTGTAGATGAAATTCTAAACAGTCTTACTAAATAAGAAACACAGAGCCAAATACAGAGTTAAAAGCCCAAGAGATCAGAGCACTAGCGAATAGCCTTAAGCTTACCACTCACTGCCGTCACTTCCAGAGAGAGAGAGAGAGAGAGAGAGAGAGAGAGAAATTAATTCTGGGAACAGGAAGGCTGAATCAGGAGTTGCCAGCCAGACACAGAGGAAGCAAGATGTGAAGGCAGAACTGGGAAAAGGTACCAAGCCACGTGGCTAAACATAAATAAGAATTATGGGTTAATTTAAGTGTAAGATCTAGCTAGCAAGTAGCCTGAGCCATTAGGCCAAACAGTTTTAATTAATATAAGCATCTAAGCATCTGTGTGTTTATTTGGGTCTGAGTGGCTGCAGGCCCAGGCAGGACTGGAGAAAACTCCAGCTACAAAGTGCTATGATTAAAAGGTTGCCTTCTGAAACTCAACAGACCCATGCTCCAGGATTCACTCCAGCCTGTAAGGACAAATCCTCAAAGAGTTGCTGTAATTGGGGTGTACATATAATATAACCCAAAATATAGAGTTGATAGTTGGCTATGCAGTATCTGAAACAAAATATACTCTATTGATTGATAGCTATTGTTAGTAAAAGTAAGTTTGTTGTAATTTGAATATTTATTATTGAATACAGTTTTGTAGGTATTATCAGTAAGAGAAATTCAAATTGTAAACTCCATTTTCTTTATTTCACAATAAATTTATTCCTTAAATCATTCAAAGTAATTTGTAGATATCAAACCCATTTTCTCTCAATATGTTGGAATGACTTTCCTAAGAACAAGGGTATTTTCTTATTGGGGTGCAATTACTAATCTCAAGAACTTAACAAAATGTTATTTTCCCTTCCTTCCTTCCTTCCTTTCTTTCTTTTTCTTTTTCTTTTTTTGTTGTTTCAAGAAAGGGTTTCTCTGTGTAGCCCTGGAGGTCTGGAACTCTTACTGTAGACCAGGCTGGCCTCAAGCTCACAGAGATCCTCCTGCTTCTGCCTCCTAAGTGCTAGGGTTAAAGGCATGCACCACCACTGCCCAGCAACAAAATGTTATTTCCTAGTATTCAGTCAATCTTAAAAATTTTGCCAATTGTATAATATATCCTGTAGGTTTTCTTTTCTTTCTTTATTGGCCCAGAATCCAATCAAGATTGCAAACCACTTTCAGTTGTCATGTCTCTTCAGTCTCTTGGAATCTTGGGAAATTCCTTAGATGACTATGGATTTATATCTGTGTGTGTTGTGGGGTAGATGAACGACTGGGGATTTGGAGCGAAAGACCTTCAAAGTTTTGGTGAGTCCAGGCTGCTCTTTTGTAGACTGTCTCAGAAAACTGAGATGGGTTTGATATGTTCTCATGATTTGATTGAAGTTACACATTTTGGCAGGTCAGCTAGAGCTTTGAGGACACATTTTAGTGAAGGCATCAGGAAGAGTAGAAAGCATCATCACGCCAAGGATTGAAGGACAGAGGCGAAAGAGGTACCCTGGGGCTCTGGCTCGGAGTTGTACAGGTAGAAGATTCCCCAGGGCTGCCCGGGATATCTGCCATTCACTTCCAGAGCACTGGAAAAGTGGGAGGGAGGGAGGGAGGGAGGGAGGGAGGGAGGGAGGGAGGGAGGGAGGAAGAGTGAATTCTGATACCCTCTTCCTGTCCCTGTGTCTCCTGCTCGGTGGCTGATCCCCACCAAGAAGCAAAGGATAAATCCAGGTGACTTAGATACCACCAGCAGCCTCCTAGGAGGGCGAGAAAGGTACAACCATATGGAGTGGGTCCTGAAGGGGTCAGGGGAGCAGAAGGCAGCTGATACAGAAGACAGATACATCATGAGAAGTGATTAAGATGGGAGAGCTAACATAACATTCATAAAGGGAAATAAAAGGTCAAAAAGTGTTGAAGGACATTTTGCAATGTTGTCAAAAGAGATTGAACATCTGGGTAGGTCCAGTGTAAGGACCTGTTACTTATCAGCATGATAGTCCTTAGATCAGGGTAAGGACTTTGGACCCATAGATGATTAAGCAGGGCACTTCCATGATCAGATCTGTGCCTTAGAAAACAAAATAGCTATGGTGGCCGTAAGGCAGAACTGTGTCAAGAAAGATGAAAGTCTGGGACTGATTACTGCAGCTGAGGGCAGAGATAAGAGCCATTGAATCAGATGCACCTAGGGCAGAGAGCAGGAGACAAAAGAGACATTTGGGACCTTTAAAATTCAAAAGAGGAAGGGGTCAAACATGTTTGAGGCTTAATTAATAATAATTAGTATTATTGATAATGGCAGCTAGCAGATAGCAAATACTTACTATTTAACACTAAATTAGAGATCTCATTAATCTTCAGGGCAACTCAGTGAGGCAGGTGTTATCACAGATTCAATTACAGGAAATAAAAATGATTAGGTGGATGTAATACCAAGAATTGAGGCCGACTGCTTGAAGTCACCGTGGACACTCACCATGAGCTTTAGGCAGTAAACTGCGAGGAAACAAAAGTTGGAACTAAGGAGACAGATTTGCCCTGGGGCTGGTTAGGTGGGGCAAGTGCTGCAGGATTGAGGTGAAAGCCGTAGCTATGAAATAGAGACCTTGGTCTACTCCGAAGCTCCTGAAGAAGAAACATTACCTTGTTTTGGGGAAATGCTCCAGGAAGACCCAGGACAGTCTGAACATTTTTATTGATATAATTGGTCTTGGCACAGACAGCACCTGTGACCTTCCAACTGGCTCAAACTTGTCATGGACACACAAGTGACCGCTTAGCTGCTGTGATGTGCTCCAGGACTGTGACCGTCACTCCAGGTCGCTGTGCCTGGGACTGCCAACTTCACGTGTGGTATGTCTGGTTCGTGCTAGGTGGGGGGGGTCAGTATTTTGTCACGTGACTTTCCATCTACCATTTACCTCCTATTTGGGGATCAAGTACTTTTGGAGTTCCTAATGAAAATGGGATTTTCCTCATGGAGAAATTATTCCAGGGAAATGTTTTAAAGTCCTCAAATTATGAGGGATAGATTTTGAAAGCATTAGTTTTATGCAAGATTACCACCAGATCTTTATCAAAATGTAAAGGTTCCTTCTATTAAGTAGTTCCTACATTAGTCTTTCTTAATAGTCTGAAGTAGATGTGTTGTGCATTTTTCATCGAGGGAGACAAAAATTGAAAACATTTGCATGTGGAACAGGAATCATTTAAGAAACTATGGAAACCGCTAATCTAGCTTAATGCCTTCTATTACTTTGGAAACATTTATTTTATCCCTTGGTTACTGGCAGTTCTATTATGGTTTACAGACAACAATAGAGGGTTTTATGTTTTGTGCTTCATTGCAGCAAAATGGTTCTCAAATATCTGACCTTAGATAATTGTGAGTCCCAGTGAAACTACGTATTCTCTGAGACTATGATTTTTTTTTTTAACCCACAAGAAAGCTTGTAACACAATTTATCCTGGGATCTTTTCTCTAGGATCTACACTATCTTCTCATGGGCTGTTAATATATACTCTATATGGTTGTATTGTATATTATATCTCTTATTAACTCTGCTGCCATCACTAATGTTTTAATATATAACTGTATGTGCCTCAAGGGAGCAGTTTATGTGTTTTACTGGCAAGGAGCACAAAAAATTCTCCCTGCTCTTTCCCTCTATTATGAATTAATATCCACTACCAGGGGACTACTTATGATATAAAATTGTCATCCTGTGAGTGGTGTAGATGAAATTACCATGGAGAAAAGCTGAGCAGTAACCAGAGAATGAATATGACAACACCTTTTCTGCTCTAAGTGGGAACCCTGGTGTCTTATATTAATTTATGGCAAATAATTTACATTGCTAATTGCTAAGTTTAATAATCTCTAATATCTTTTCAGTCACAGGCTTTTCTTAACACAAAACAATCTTGCGTGTTGAAATGGAATATTCTAATAACATGGGATCATTTTTGTTAGCTCCAGAGTATATTGCAATCTCTGCAAGAGACGACTGTAGCCTGTAACAGCACCTAGGGGAGGGAGCCTTTTAAGCGTTATTGTTGTCTACATTGCTTTTCATTTTGGCAATAAAGGAGTTAAAGGGGAGAGATTGATTCTTAATGACAGTCCTGAGTGTTGTGTGGTGGTTGCCTGGCAACTGTACCTGTAGGAACTAAATATTGGACATGCATCTGTATTAATCCCCTCTTGTCAAGGTGTGTAGGTGTTTAGTATATCAAGCTTGGGAAATACTTACAAGCAGAAAAGTTTGCTCATTTGATGATCCTTGGAAATTGTGTGAGATCACTGGATGTCAACAAAGAAGGGTCAGGAGAGTAAGTGATGTTCGGTGCTGGGAATAGGTCTTGAATGTATGTGAGCATCTCTTAAGTGAGACTGAGCCCAGCCTTGCTGTCCTCGCCTCCCTCTTTTATCTCTTCCAAGGACGTATCTCTTCACTTAGAGAACATTTATCGACTGTCTTTAATGTGCTAACGTCTGTGGCAGATACAGCCCGGGGCCTTTACACGAGATAAATGGAGTCCCCCGTCGTCCTTTCGTCTGGAGTGGAGACTATGGTGAGTGCAGGGTGCACGCAGAAGGAAACATTCTCACTCAACAGCCCTCAGAGCTCACACACCCGAGTATCATCGGCCATTCCTTCGTTTCTCCTGTAGAGATTAAAGTAATCTGTGGCTTATGTCCTATGCCCAACCTACTACTAACTTCCATCTCTGTCCATTCCCAGAGTTCCACAGCACCAGTGATCACTGTGCTCCATACCCCTTCACTCACCATCCCTCGGCTCCTGCTTTCAGAACCTTTGCTAAGGTTTTGGCTTCGTTATGAATTGCTTCCATTTTATCATTGATGTCCCCTCTAATTACACAGAAAAGCTGAGGACAAATAACTGAGGTAATTGATGAGAAAACTCTCTTTAGAGGATGAGGAGCACCTCACATTTCTGGGAATGGACACAGCCTCAATGTGAAGTATATTCAGTTCTGCTATAGTGATATGAAGGGTTACCTCTTATTATTCCAGGCTGTTCCATGTGGGGACATTTTGTTGGTGGTGAATGACATTTTCTTAGTAGAATGAGGGTATAGACAAGACCTTGCTTTGATCCTGTTACAGTAAGTTTCATGTACGTTGTAAGACGTTTCAGTGCCCACCCAAACACCTGGGCCTTGATCAGCTGTTTAGCTGGTTTTTTGTTTGCTTTTTTGTTGTTTTCCCTTCCCAAATAGATACGTCTGGTCATAAGATTGTGAGCGAAGAGAGATGAATCATAATGTCCCATCTGCCCTACTTCCATCAATAGTGAAGACAAGCCCAACGTTCTCAGCTACACCTGGCCTGGAAAGGGTACGTTTATTAATGTGTGGCTGAATCCATCGGCACACTTCAGGAAACTGAAGCAATGTATTGTGGAGTGATGACTTGGTGCAGGAGTGAGAGCTTGTGTACCTGAGAGGTTGGGGGGGGGGAGGTGAGAATTCAGGGAGGAGAAACGGAGCAACAGTGAAGTCTCCGCAAACATACCAGAGCTTGCAGGGAAATGTAGGAGGGGTGGGTGTCAGGGCAAGGCTGCTCAGGGGAGCAGGGCTCTTTGGAAAGCTGTCACTTGTGGGTCCCACTGCTTCTGGGGGTGGTCAGCCGAGTGTATGGTAGGGAGCTTGGGGCACTGCTGGTGAGCACTGCTAGCAGACACGGGAAAGGCTGAGTGCGAGCTGGAACCAATGAGGACAAGCTGGCTTCTGTTAGCACCTTTCAGATGATCTCCACATTTCACTACTGACATTTATGGAGAGAATGGCCCCTGCTTCACTTCTTTCTACAGTTGCCCGGACTACATGAAAAAGGGGATTCTGGGAAATGTAGTTCCAAATCAACCAGCTCCATGAGTTTCCCTGTAGAACCTTATTCAAAGGGCATTCTGTAGGCTCACATAATCCCTTCCTTGGCTGACCCCTTGCTTTGAAGACCCATAAAGTAGTGCCTTGAAGGAAGGCACTCCCTGTTCCATTCATTTCTTTTCATCACTGTGTTCAACTCAAGAATGTATATTGGGTGATGGAAGACAGAGGAAAAGGAGGTCAGAACTGGACAGTTAGAACTTGGCAGTTCCCGCTTTGATCCACATCACCAAATAACTTAGGAACCAACCTCATTCTTGTTTGTAATTTCTCACCAGTTTTTCTTTCCTTCATCAGAGGGCCTGGATCATTTCCACACGAGGTTGGCTGTGTTTATGAGCTTTGGACTAGCTTGTCTGCGTCACAGTTGAATCAGGTTTGTAGTTTAAATTCTCATGAAAACCATTGTTGCAGCCGTGGTGGCGAGCACCCTTAATCCCAGCACTGACACAGGCAGGTGGATCTCTGAGTTCAAGACCAGCCTAGGGAGCAAGTGCAGACCGGTCAGGGCTATACAAAGAAATCCTTTCCCTGAATAAACAAAGAAACAAATAAATAAATGAAACAAAAAAGAAGGCAAAGCAAAGAATAGGCTAAAATGTGTAGAAAGATTACCATTGAGTACACCCACAGTCTCTGTCTTTTCTGATGAGTCAAATAGACATAAGGCTGTGTGTTCTATTATATTTGGTCTCAAAATAAGAAAGCCACAGGGAGATTTAATGATAGCTTAACCATTACTTAGTGGCTGAGATTGGTATCGGAATTGGGGTCAATTAATGAAACTATTCAAGAAATCTAAAGCCCGAGTTCTAGTTTAGACCCTCTACATAAACACACACACCTTATTTTCTTTGTGATGGGACCACTACATCGAGCCTCATTTTTTCATTTGTGAACTTTGGTCTGTATCGAGACCAACTTTGGTCTTATCTTCTAGAACAAAGTGGGATAATACTGATGACATCACCTAGGAAGCCATAAAACGCCAAACAGATCCCAGTTATTAATATCAGTGACAACAAAAAAATGGTGTATGATAAAACCACAGACAGAAACAGATTGATAATTGGTCACAAGAAGCATCAATAAAGAAGTCTTAAAAACGTTTTACTTATTAGTTAATTGTGTGTGTGTGTGTGTGTGTGTGTGTGTGTGTGCGCGCGCACGCGCGCATGTACCTATGTATGTGAGTGTGCCTATGTGCTGGTGCTTGGTATGCAGAAGTGAGAGAACTTCTTGCAGAAATTGGTTCTTTACTTCCATCAAGTGGGTACCTGAGAAGTGAACTCAGGCTTGGCAACAAGCACCTTTATCTGCTGAGCCATCGCAGCCCCTTAATAATACTTCTCAACCAGTAATAGTTAATAAGTTTTTTGCACCCTGATAAGTCTCTCCACCAAGGCAGCAATCCAAATCAGACCAAATCAGACTGAATTAGAAAAGCCCCCCAGTTTAATGGGTTAAGCATTCCTGGGTGGTTCTCAGGCTCCCCAGAAAGGAGGCGGGGAAGAGAAACTGGAAAACCACGTGTCTGTTTTCAGATGCAGTTTATATCCCCTGTGGGAGTGGTCTTGAGCCTCTCTCGGGGAGGAGCTGTGTTTGGCGGGCTTTGAAGGTTCTGGTTTAGGGAAAGAAATGGGGGGAGGGGAGTTGAGGTGGATCTTCCACCAGAATAGTTAAGAGGTCACATAGACATCATCATAATATCTAAACTATGGCACTGTAGTAGAATCTTGTAGCTCCAAAAGATGGAAAAAATCTGTGCAAAACTTGTCTGAATTTCTCGGTGGTATCAGAACGTCTATGCTCTTTGGGTAATGAAGTGTGAGTTCCCTTTATTCCCCTAGATGTCTCTGGGTACCCCTCCCCCTGAGGTTGTTTCTTTGATTTTCTGAGCAGCTGTGTATGTTTTTGTAGTATTGATAAAGGGGTGAGGCAGGGCGAACCCTGGTAACAGCAAGTGGATGGGACGGAGCTGTGTAGTCTTCAGCCTAAGGGTTGACTGGAAGGGAACGCAGCCTCCACTTCAGGTCACAGCTCTGTGACAAATGGCTCCATTGCTAATAAAGATAAGCTGGATTGCAGGGCAATCTGGCAGAAATATTCCTGCCTTAAAAAAAAAAATTGTGATGTGTGACGATGGGGGGGCGGGGTGGAGGCCCTAAAAATTTGCTCCTATCTGTCAGAAATCATCATCCGGGAGAGTTTTATTATGAGGGAAGTCAGACCTGCAGCCTTTGCTTTGACCGCAGAGGCCAGAGGTGTTTATGTTTCTTTCAAGATATTGAGTCCAGAGTTGAGGTCTGGTATTTGGCTGGTGACTGTTCAAGAGGAGGGATTTGGCTTCTGGCAGAGCATAAAGCCAAACGACAACAAAGCTTTCCTTTCAAGCTATCCAAATGAACACATTTCTAATCTGAAATTCAAATACTTGACAACAGAGAGCCTGTGAGCTGGGCTTTGAACAGGAAATTGCTTCATGGTTTTAGCATAATGAATCAGGCAGTTAGACTAAATCCATTTAGTAGGAGAAGAATGCTTTCACATGCTTTGTGAAAGAAAGGGGGAGGGGGTGGACCTTCTTAATCCCCCAAATTTCTTAGGACTTGCAGACACAAACGCCCCGTATACATTTTATCTGCTGTGTTCTCCGCCCGGTATGTAGAAAACCGGTATTCAGGAATCATCTTGGTTGGAAGACGCAGTGTCTTGTAATGTTGGAGGAAATGAATGTGATGGGTACAGGTCAGGGAGTTGCTGGCTGTCTTCGTGTCCCTTGCTTCTCCGGCTGGTGGCGAGTGCATTGCATTGTGAAACCCTGTTTTAGTCCCTGTCAGTGTTAAATCGGACAGCTATGGTGTTGCCTTGTTCTCAAGGCACTCGGGAGACTCAGAGCAGAGGAAGCTGCAGGCATTCCTGGATCAGACTCTCGGCCTTAAGAAAGCAGCAGGCTCCTCAGTCAGCAGGGCCTGAGACATCACGGGTGCCAACCAGACTTTCGGCATGGGGGTAGGGCTGAGCAGACAGAGGACTGGTACTATGAGAAGGGCAAGCCAATTTGCATGCTGTAGAAGGGTGGTAGGCTGTGTAATAAGTCTGACCCTGAGAGAGCCTGCTGGCCTCCCCGGGGAAGAACAGAGAAAGAGAAAATGGAAAATAGAAGTTACAGAAGAAAGAAACAAAAGTAGTCACAATGGTAGTGCAAACGGGAAGAGAGAGAGAGAGGTTGAATCTTATCTGGAGCGAAAGGGGGCGCCATAGGAGTAATAGCAGCAGTCACACACCCCTGAGCCGGGGCCCAAGGAGCTAAGGCCACAACACATCTGCCCCTACGGCAGACAGATGCATTATGAGGTATGCCTTTTCTGTGTAGCATACCCCCAAACTGTTTCCCTACTCCTCACTGGCACAGAAAAATACATAAATGAATGAGATTTCTTCAAAATCATTGTTTTTAATGTTCATATCAAGTAGGCTATTAAAGTTCTTCTAGTTGGCTTGGAGAAGAAGGTCCTTGAGACAGATTACATTACAGAGATATTAAAGAAAGAAAACAACAGAAAAACCCACCCCCAAACATGAGTGTGTGCCAGGTACCCAAGCCATGTTCACATTTAAACAAACAGAGGAACAAACAAACCCAAACCAGGGTGGTATACCTGCCTCTCCAGTGCTGAGGAGCGGCTTTCATGGCAGGGTGGAGACCATGGTACACAGACTGGCTGATACGATCGTGCCGACCTGAGCGGACCTGTAATGAACTAGGCTGAGAAGAAGGATTTTAAACCACAGTAGCCTGGTTCTGGAGTAGAATAGTAATCACCTCAAGAGCAAAACTTGAATGTTTAGGAGACCCCGTATCTTGGGAATTGTGCTGAGGCCCCAACCAGATCTAGTCAAAACTTATTCAGAATGTATTTCAAGCCAGTGAGTGTAAACTGGCCAGAGAGGAGCCTCTATCCTGCCAAGTAGCTCAAATTATCCAGATAAAAATGAGGCAGAATTCCAAATCTAAGCCTGTTGCCAGACAACAGACTTCCCTTCAGAAGAATATCCCAGGGTCTCGGGACTGGAGATGGGGCCATTCTGATGGAGTGACTGGCATGGAAGTAGGTCCCAAGACAATCTCTCTTCCATGCACTGAAGACAGGAATCCCTTTCTCTGAGGCATGACCTTTCATTCCATGATGATAAGTGTAAGTGAGTCTGGAAGGATCAAAGCCAAATTAAATTCATGTTGAAGTAGAAAAGACTTATGTGTGCTCTGTTACAGGAGTCACAGAAAGCTCTTAGCAAGTTTTCTTCAGTATGGGTCCAGAAGCTGGGGCTGTCTCTAGAGGCCCCCAAGACTTTTACAGACTCAAGGCATCTCAGTTCCTAAGAGATGACAGTGACATAGATAAGGGACATCAGGAACACAAGAGACTCCCCAGGTCCTTCTAGAAAGAGAGAAAAGGGTGTGTGTGTGTAGTGCAGGGAATTAGGGTCATGTTTGGATTAAGAGCCCTATTCACGGCTCAATAATTCTTTCAGATTTGGTGTTTTATCTCAAAAAAAAAAAAATCCTTGCATGGTTTATTTTAAAGCTCACCACGTGTTAATGTTTGTCTTCATATAAAAGTGTTTTGAAATGATCTATTATCAAACCCCAGTGAGCTTTAGCAAGAGATGCCCACTTTCTGTGAGGCTCCGAGGATGCCTGGCTCCCTGCCAGTGACTGTCATCTGAGTCGGCAGGCAAGCAGAGACCCGGGTCCAGCTCTTGACACAATCATTATGAGGCTCAAGACCCGGCTCTGAGTCATTCTTTTGTGTTCAGTTCTGACTCAAAATAACTCAAAACAGGCAAGTCTGTCTTTCCCATGTTGCCTTGAAAGCATTAAGAGAGCAGAAAGCACACCAAGATTGCTCTCCTCTTTGACCCTTTCCCAACTGTTAGGGGTTGTGCATCCCTTTTGGAATGGTTTTCTCCTCTTCTGGAATATAAAACACAGTTAGGCACAAATTTCTAACAATAAATGCAAAATAGATTCTTTTTTTTGTTGTTGTTGTTGTTTCTTACTATGCCTCCTTATGGAAATCCTCTCAGAATGGCCAGGCCCCTTGATAGAGAATATATTCACACACATTTCCTTTTGTATTATCCTTGGGCTCAAACTATCTGAATTTTTGAACTGGTTGTCATAATTGGATCTTCGAGTTGAGATTCCGGGTAGATATTTGAATAGTAAAAAATAAAAGCATAAAAATGAAATGACCATTTTTTTAAAAGTGACAATTAGGGTTCCATACCAAAGTATATCTCATAGCATACTGGCCAGTGGTTATACTACAGAGTTCTGGAATCAAACACCTGTAGGTTTAATCCATCTGC